CTTTTTAATTTGTAGAATCACTGGCAAAGTACATCAGGTGAGTAGAGCAGTTTCAGAGGTCCAGTTTCAGACAGGAGCCTTCTCTATTTTGGTTGCAGAGGTGGTTGGACGCCCTGCAGCTTCATTTCGTCGAGTCCTTTCCAGTATTTAAAATTGTTGTCCAGGTGTTGCAGTGACTCCGGTAGGTCTACAAAGTCGTCCCAAGCATGGTACATGTCTGTAACGAAGGAGTCGATGAAGGAGATCTGGGACTGGGGGATGCTGCAGGTGTTTCGGTCAAAAGCTGACATCGCCACAGGTAAGTCCAGCTTCTTTTCTTCTTCTGTCTGAGAAAAATACTCATCCGAGATGCGTGCAGCCCACTCGATGCACTGCTCCAGGGGCCCGCAGGGATTGGACACGTCCGCGCACTTGATCATCATCCGTTTGATCAGAGTCCGGTTTTCTGGAGACCGGAGCATCGTGTCTACGTCACGAGGGTATGGCTCACTCCCCTCGCTTTCCTCCAGCTCTGCCAAGGGCTTGACGACGCTGTTGACAAACTTATTGATGTGCTCGAAGTGCCTGGTCATCTCCGTGGCCAAGACCATGTCGATGATGGCCTGGCGCAGCGTCCGGAAGTCATTCCTGTTTCAGACGACAAACAAGAGGCCCTCTCCCCAATAGGGGGTGAGCAGCCCGTCCCTCTGCTCACCCCTCCCCCATCCGCATCCTCACCCCCATCAGGGGCAGGGCCAGCCAGCCTACTGCCTGCAGCCCCTCCCTCCATTCAGCCCACCCCCAATTGGCTCCCACCACCCCATTCTCGTGGTACCTCCCCTCAACCAGTTCTGCCCCCAATTAGTCCCCCCCACTCCAATCAGGGGCAGGGCTGGCCCACCACCCATGGCCTCTCCCCCAGGTTGCTGGACCCCGATTAGCCCCCCCACCCCAATCGCCTGCAGCCCCTCCCCCAAGCTGGCCTGGCCCTGATTGGGCCCCAATTGGGGTGGGCTGGCTGGTCACCCTCCTGCTATCTCCTCCTCCCAACATGCCTGTCCCTGATCCACCGATTGGGGTAGGCTGGCTGGACCCCAACTGTGCATGAATTCGTGCACTGGGCCTCTAGTATAACAATAACAGATATTCATAATGATACATCTAGGTTAGAAAAAAAGTCTTAAAATTAATAAGCCTGTTTAAAAAAAGAAAGAGTATATGTTTTAAAAAAATTTTTAGCAAACACATGTAAAATTTTAAATTCTAGCACTCAAAAGGTTGCCAATCATCTCACTGGTATGGCTCAGTGGTTGAGCATTGACCCATGAACCAAAAGGTCCCCAGTTCAATTCCTCGTCCGAGCACATGCCGGTTGCAGGCTCGATCCTGGAGGCGCCAACGAATGTTTCTCTCTGTTTCTATCTCTCTCTCCCTCTCCCTTCCTCTCTCTAAAATAAAAAAAACATATTTTTTTAAAAAGGTTACCAATCAGCTATCTGGAATCCTCACTTTTCAGAATTATTGGGAATCCAGATAACTAAGATTTTATGGCATCTAGGAATAGCCTTATAAAGCAGATCTTTTAAATCACCTGTCTACAAGTTGTTTTCTTAATTAAAGAATAAACAAGTATTAAATGTTTACAATCATATACAAAAGACTAGACTTGAGTTTTTAATACACAAAAGTTCACATTAAAGATTATAAAACTCTTTGAATATTAAAAGTATTACAATAATAAATAAACCTTAATATATGCAAATAAGAGTCTCCTAAAATTATAAATACTTGCTTGACAAAATAACCAAGTAAGGGGAAAAAAAAACCCATAATTTCACAAAGCATAAAGGTTAATATAAGATTTCCACTATGAGCCCTAGCTGGTTTGGCTCAGTGGATAGAGCATCGATCTGGGGGCTGAAGGGTCCCGGGTTCAATTCCGGTTAAGGGCACACGCCTGGATTGTGGGCTCGATCCCCAGGAGGCAGCCGATCAATGATTCTCTCTCATCATTGATGTTGCTATCTTTCTCCCTTTCCCTTCCTCTCTGAAATCAATAAAGATATACAGTGGGGCCTTGACTTACGAGTGTCCCGACTAACGAGTTTTTTGAGATACGAGCAGTCTCTCGGCCGATTTTTTGCTTTGAGTTGTGAGCTAAAATTCAGGTTACGAGCCAGCTTCAGATACCCCGCCGCTAGTTTGTGCAGCAAACGTCACAGTGAACGCCACATCAGCCCAGCATCACGTGTCTCACTCGTTCACTGTTGATTTGACATATGAGTAATCTGAGTTACGAGCTCCATCACAGAATGAATTAAGCTCGTAAGTCAAGGCCCCACTGTATATAACAAAAAAAGATTTAAAAAAAAAAAGATTTCAACTATGAGAAAATATTTATTTTTCATATACTGAATCCTAAGCTCAATTAGGAAATAAAATAATCAGGCTAATTTGTAAAATCTGAAAAGACAAAATTCACATGGAAAAATTAAAGCTGACTATACATTAGTGAAGTTAAACATAAAAAAAGAAAGTATTTACTAACCTTTATTTCCTAACATCACAGCAAGATGTAAAGGAGTGTTTCCTAAAATAAAATAAAAAGTTAAATTAGTATAAAAACACTAGCAGCCCTTGCACGAATCCATGTGCCAGTAGCTCGCTGCCCGCCTCCCCTCCTGTAGCTCCCCCACTGCCCCTCCTCCCACCCCTTCCTCATAGCTTGCTGCCCTGCCCCCTCCTGTAGCTCTCCACCGTCCACTTGTAGCTCGCTTCCCCACCCTCCTGCTGATCTGTGATCCAGTAGTTACGTGGTTGGTCGTTACATAACAACCATTTGCATATTACATCTTTATTACATAGATAAGAAAGTGTGTATTTAAAAGTAGTTTCATCTCCTTCACAAATTTCACTGACAGATTTTTTTTTCACTGACAGATTTTAAGCAAAGTAAATGTGATTGCAAATGATCCTGTTTATATGGCAAATTCAAAGTCAGAAGATGCTAAGGTTTCCAAACATAATATAGCCAACTCCTCTTACCTCTGCCAACCCACCCCCATCTCTCTCCAAAAGATACCCATTTTGCTTTAGGGATTTCTTCTCTAAATAGGTTTAGAGCTTCTTTTGCTGCTAATTTATCTGTCATATTATTCTTTGCTCATTCAGCAAACAACTTAAATACTTACTATAAACTCATTCTTGGAGATAAGTATCAATAAGATCCAATCCCATCCTCAAGTTGCCAAAATTCTGTTAGAGACTAATATGAAAATAAATCATTGTTATATTATTTAGTAGAATAGAAGGGAGTGTAGCATGATAATGGAACACAGGGCAGAGCACCTAATTTTGCCTGTGCAGAGAGACTTAAATATTCAAGATAGACCACAGTGAAAAAAGTCTTGAAGAATAGGTTAGAAATTTGTAGGGGGAAAAAGCAACACTGCCTAGTCTTCCATTCAAATGCAAGAACAGTTTTTGGGAAATACACAAAAAAAGTTTTAATTGGTGTGAGTCAAGAGCTTGTAAAAGAATAGCAAATAATGAAATCGGAACTATTTGCAAAAGACAAATCTTTTTGAGAACCTTCAGGCTATGTTCTAGAGTTCGGATTATATCTTATAGTTGATGTTATAGAATGACTAATTTAATTTCAAAATGATTTCCCAAACCATACAGCCTCAAAACTTCTTGATTATAGAAGAAATCGAAACTAAAGTAACATTTTAAAATAAAGTTACTAATTAAAGTTTATGTGTATTAATTTTCAGATATTAGCATTTTTACAGAAGTTGCTACATGAACAATTTTTCCAATAAAACGAACTACACATGATTGAAGAAATCATATACAGGATTAAAAAAACTTGATTACATTTCCAAAAAATCTGCATGTGATCTACCCCAATCTCATAGCTAAACAAAACCTGCCAACACACACACACCCCTTTTGCTCAATAAAGCCAGAAGAAAATGACAAAGAGAGCATGACTGTATTTTATGTAAAATTTACAAGGCACAAATAAATTCACTAAATTTAAATTGTATTTATAAGAAATTTTACCAAAAAAACAAGCTGCATTACAGTAAATATCTTCATCTTAGTCATTAGAAACCAAAAAAAAAATTTTTTAATGGCAGACTTTGGAATAGAATTCACATTATGGTTTTCAGAAATAAAAATTTGAAGTACAAACTTCCATTAGTGACTAGACAACATACTCCCCAGTTTTCACACCTCAGAACTTAACGTAGTTGAATAGGAAAACCACTATGATATAATTGTTAATAATCAAACATTGAAGCATGTCCCAGAACAGACATGACTACCAAAAGTCACTGGTATAAGCTATTTTCCAAAGACAAACGTCAATCCCCCCAAGATGTCATACCCTTTAGAGTGAGCTAGCGATCTTTTCAAAATGCTATGTCATAATGTTAGAAATATTTATATGAGTAAGAA